TTGAACGTCTGGGTTGATTAAGTTGGGGTCCACTAAGGATTGGTGGATAGCTGACACTTTTGTGCTCTAGTGTCCCTCCATGCGATAACCTTTTTCCCACCCACATTCACAGTTTCCCTTCGCTCTGAGGGTATTTGGGAGGCATCTGGGCATGAGGTCCTTTGGTGTGACCCTGGTGCAATGAACTGTAATCTATTGGGGTTTTGGGGGCAGTTGGCCTTTACATGCCCCAGCTGACTGGTCACTGGGGTGGGGTGGTTTGCTGGAGAATGGTGTGGTGGGGCGATAAGGTGTCCTTGGTTTTCCTTGGGGTGTAGCTGAGGCCTTGGGCTGCCTCCGGTGGTAGGGTGTGGTCTCGGGGTGTCCCTTCTGGTATCCTCTCCAACTGCGACCAGGGTTGTTCCTCTCTGCTACCTCCGCCCGTTTTGTTCTGATTTGCTCCGCCTGGTCATATTGATCAGCATAAGAAGCAAGACTTTCTGCTGAGTCCATTTTCTTATCCCATAAACAATGTTTTACATCATCATTGGTCATAGTCAGGAACTGCTCCTGGAAAACCAAATCACACATTCCTTTAAAGCTAGTTACATCCCTGCCTCTGACCCATTTATCTAACATAAGTTTACATAACTGGTTTACATAAGCCACATTACTTAGTCCAGCCCCTCTCTTAAGGGCTCTAAATTTTACTCTGTAAGTTTCAGGTGTAATTTGAAATTGTTTCAAAACCAAATCCTTAAATTTACCATAGTTAGAAGCATCCTCAATAGGCATCTTGTTGAATATGTCCAGAGCTCTTCCAGTCAATTTTGCTACCAATGTGGTCGTCATGTCATCGTCAGGAATTGCATGAAGGGTGCACAGTCTCTCAAAGGTGAGAAAATATTCAGCAATATCACTGGATTCATCATACTGTGGACAAAGTTGCTCCCATTTGTGGATTTTTGGGGAAATGGAGTCAGCAGCTGAAGGGTTTTGTCTCTTCAACTCCATAACAGCCAGGACGGACATGCTTCCTCTCTCTTTCCTTCTCCTCCTGAGCATGCTGCTGGGCCTCCATAGCTCTCTCATGGGCAGCCTCTTCTCTGGGTGTTTTTGCCTCCACGGCTCTCTTGTGGGCAGCCTCTTCTGCATCCCTAGCAGCTTTTTCTCTGGCTGCTTGTGCGGTCCAGTGGTCCCAAGTGGTCCCTTTCCCGAATCTTTGTCTAACTCACTTGGTGGTGGCAGCAGTACCCATCCAAGGACAAGGAAGGATTTGTGTCTTGGGGAAGTTTTTAACCTAAGATGGTAGAAACAAGCTGGGGGCGGGTCTTTCATGTGGGTCCTCACATCTGTACCCTAGAGTTCAGAGTGGGGAGGGAACCCTGACATGGTCTCAGACTTAATTTAGTTACTTTTGCTACACCGTGCATGGAAAGTAGCTCCCCATTTACCTGAAGTTTCTTAAATGTTTTCATTAGTGGCATATACAGCTGCCCTGTAATTATGATTCCAGGTCCTTAAATCTTGATCTTCTAGTAGGGCAGAGTTTGGTAGCTACTGTATATAATTAGGAGGTAGCTCTGAATGTGTTAAGTCTGAAAATGACTATATCTAAGGGCAGTAGCTGCACCAAATAAACAAGCCCCAGCAGCTCTTCCTATATCTTGTGAATCCTCCTTCCATCTTAAGTCAGATGGAAAATTCCTAGCTGTCATTTCATTCCCATCTTTAAATTTGTTTTATTGTCTCTCCATTTCTAGGCTTTGCTAATGCAGGGAAACCTTAAAATGCACAGTTCACTCCTAATCTGCTGATTTCTAGAAAGGTTAGGAAAGAGAGAAACATGCTTAGGGCTTGACTGTTTGTGTTGGCTTGGAATTGAAGAGTGTATACGTTCTACCTAGTCTCAGAGTACCAAATGCAGAAATTCCATGTGCTTACTGAAGAGCTCCAGCTATTGATGTTATGACTTTTTTTCTGAAAGTAAATATAACTGGCAGATGTTAAAGACATAATGTAAAATTTGTGAAGATGTATTAGAATACTTAGAGCACTATGCTTTAAAATCATTGCTGTATGCTTATACATTATACTACACCCTATAGAAAGAAAATGTTATGCCACCCTGTGGGTTGCTATAAAGAATGTTTATGAAGTTCAGCCTAAGACTTAAAATACGTTGAATTGGAGAGTTTTGAAAAATGTACTGTATGACACAGGAGACCAAATCATGCTAAAGTGCAGGGAAAGACTATACATCAGTTCAAAGGCTACATTATTCAAAAAAATACAACCATAAAAAAGTAATAAGATTACATTCTCACACTTCATGGCTAGTAAGGTGCATTAAGCTGCTCAGATATTCATAACTTACTGTGACATTTGGGAAGATTACATTTTGCTGTGCACAGCCATTACTGCAGCTCAGATAATAACTAGCCAGTACATGGGCCTGGATTATGATCCCTGTCGTCGGAAACAAATTTGTGTTTTGAAGGTTGATCAGTTCCAAATCACTATTAGAAAGGGTTAATATGACATACTGTAGAGTGTGTGTGCTTATGTGTATCTAATGAGTATGCATGCATAGAGTACATCAAATATAGTCCACTTTGTGTATACTGCTTTTTCTGTCAATTTTTTTGTCAAAAGGTATTACTTAAAACAGAAATGTTTAAAACATAGTGACTGCACTAGATATATACTTTTAATGTAACACCTGCTGAAATATTTGTTTTCGCTGGTTAGATTGGAAAATTAATTTGATAGCTTCCTGGATGGGTTATTACTGTTAATGATGTGTGTAGCCAGAAATGAAGGGTTGATGGTAAAAATGATAGGGTGAAGGTGGGGTCATCTTATTTACAACTAAATGTTGACCTGTACAGTTCTGATGTGATAGCTCTTGATTGGTTAGTTAAACTATATACCTAATTAAATTAAAAAGTATGGTGTGACTCTTAGCTGACAGCAAACGTATAGCCATTGTATTTGCACCACGAATTACTTTTACTTTCTTAGTCAAGTTTCATTTGCAAGACTGTCCTTTTGAGGAAGGCCTCAATCAGTCTATTAGGGTGGGTGATATGCTTGCATTCAATGTAAAATAAATAGTAATTTGAGAGTCGCTTTCTTGTTTTTGATCCAGTTGTCTTCAGGCTTTTATTTTCTCTGAGTTTTTTTAAAAATGCATTTTGTGATGTTACTACTTTAGCCCATTCCACCCAAGGATCTCAAAGCACTTGGCAACCACTAATGGATTAAGATAGACATGAACCTCATTTTGCAGAAGGGGGAAACTGAGGGATAGAAACTGAGTTACTTGATAAAGATGAGAGAAAGTTGGTGGCAAAGCTGGGAATAGAATTCATATCTCTTGACTCCCAATCCTGTGACTTTACTAGATAATACTCTTCGATGTTCCTTTAATTACTTAAATTATTGCAATTCAGAAAAAGTGAAAATGGAAGGGAAATATACATTTTTTTAAATGGTCATTCAGAAACTCTCCGTTTCTTAGTACAACCTCAATCACCTCTGCTAACTTTCTCAATTTCTTATGGTATTTGACATCACTGCTTTATGTTCAGAATGTTGAAAGGTGCAGCTTCCAACCTGGAAACAAAATTTAGGACCTTTTGGATATTCTACAGTGATTTGAGTGTTTGACTTACAATATTTAAGGGCAACAATTCTGTTCTGTTGGACATACTTGATCTAGTGAATGGAGCTGTAGGGGCTTATGGGATGGCAAGAGAGAATAAGTATTTTGGGGGGTGACTTCTGTCACAGTATAACTTTAGGAAGGAAATCAACTGAATTTCTAATTGGATACTGTTAAGCTGTCATTCTAAGTGACTGATCAAACCTGTCCAAATAATATAATTCACTTGTTTAGTTAGTTTTGAAAATATCCACATGTAACTCTTCAGATTTACTCACTCCTCTTCCCCAAACATATCAAGATATTTGACTTTCTCATATGTGACCCAAATTGAAATCGAGACATTATTTTCTTAGGAAGGTAGATGAGGGGAGGAGGAAGGAAGGGGAAAAGTGCCTTGTGACATCCACCTAAATACCTGAAAGATCTAAAGAAACAGAATTCACCAAATTTTTTTTTTTCGTTTTTAGAAAATCTTTCTGTAAATGGAAGGAAATGTAACACAAACTTGAATTTACATCTAAGATGTCACAGTACTGTATTCATATTCATCTAACTTGCAGAAAAGTCTTGAAATATGAGGGCCTGGTGAGACTGGTAGGTTAGTATGTTAATCTCAAGAGAATTAAGTTCTAGTTCAGGTCACAAGTGAAGATGAGGTTTGATTTCTTTGTAGCTGTTGCCTTGTGCACATCAGAAACCACCTAATGTGGTATACTCACCAGTTTCTGTTCAAGCAAAGTCCATGACAGAAAGTTCTGAAGTGTTGCTTTTCTGGATTTAAGTGCATTAGCAGATCTGTAGGAGGAGACATAATCGTTAATGTTGGGCTCCAACCAATGCTACTGTTCCTTCACTTTTTAAATGATCATTAACATTCACTCAGATACAACTGTTTTGTGCTATAATTTGAAAACGAACAAATAACCTTCCCAACCTCATACCTTTACTTACGAAGTAAAATTGCAGTTGATGCTTCAATCCACTTTTCATCTAATATACCCGAAGTGCAGCTAAACGTTTGTAAAGAGGAACACTTCGGTGAGGTAGGTCAGCTCTTCACAGCAGCTGTTCTCTTACCTATTTGGGAAGTGCTTTTACAGATGGGCAAACTGAAACACAGAAATGTCAAGTGTCTTCATCAAAGTTACACAGTGAATCCATAACAGAAGTAGCAATTGGATTCACGGTTTGCCACCATCCAATTCCTCTTCCCTAATCTAATCTAAATCCAGCCCCACAACCTCTGTAATTGTTTCAGCACACATCCTTGGGAACGTGCACAGCAAGACCTAAATGTAGAATGATATTTGGAAATGATTGTTACTAATGCTTTGCCTTTTTTTCCTTAAAGCTTGTAGGGGGCCATTTTGATCTGGAAATGAACTTTATTATCCAAGAAGGAGAGAGTATTATCTGCATGGTAGACTTGTTGGATAAATGTGACATCACTTGCCAGGCTGAGGTGTGGAGCATGTTTACAGCAATCCTGAAGAAGAGTATACGGAATCTACAAGTCTGCACAGAAGTAGGGCTTGTTGAACAAGTGCTACAGAGAATTGATAAAACTGACAATATGATTGCAGGTATGACTTTAGATGGCAATACATTTATTTGAGCTAAATATGACTGTCTTTATATAAAACCTTAACACAGCACTTTTATTGACAAAATAAAAGAATAAGCATTATGTACAGAGCTGCATGTATATCATTTTAATATTTTTTCCTTCAGATCTCTTAGTTGATATGTTGGGAGTGCTGGCTAGCTATAATTTGACGGTCCGGGAGCTAAAATTGTTCTTCAGCAAACTCCAAGGAGAAAAAGGAAAATGGGTAAACAACTTTGTTGTCTTAATGTTGGTTATACTGTCTCCTAATCTTTCCAAACAAAAAGGGCTATTTTAGAAACATTTTTAATAACCATATGTGAAAGCTATCAAAGATGTAGGGATCCCCGCAGTAGTATTATCAATAGATGTCTTCTTGCATATTAGTAATAAAATAGATGGTGTAGAAGTGTGAGTAAGTTACCTATTAGATTTACGTTTGGTCGCTCTAGAAATACTGATACTTAGTGCCTCCGGTTTCCCCCTGACAAACAGGTCGCACTTGTCTTCTTTATATACCCGGAAATAATTTGATGATAGTAGGTACCTGTTTTTCTTTTTATAACTCCAGTTACATTTAGTCTGCAGAAGAGAAGAATGAGGGGGGATTTGATAGCTGCTTTCAACTACCTGAGAGGTGGTTCCAGAGAGGATGGTTCTAGACTATTCTCAGTGGTAGAAGAGGACAGGACAAGGAGTAATGGTCTCAAGTTGCAGTGGGGGAGGTTTAGGTTGGATATTAGGAAAAACTTTTTCACTAGGAGGGTGGTGAAACACTGGAATGCATTACCTAGGGAGGCGGTAGAATCTCCTTCCTTAGAAGTTTTTAAGGTCAGGCTTGACAAAGCCCTGGCTGGAATGATTTAATTGGGGATTGGTCCTGCTTTTGAGCAGGAGGTTGGACTAGATGACGTCCTGAGGTCCCTTCCAACCCTGATATTCTATGATTCTATGAAACCAAGGGGGGGGAAAAAAAAGCAGAGGATTTAAAAAAAAATGTAGACATTTAAAAAAGGTAAATTAAAAACTACCTCCCACATACACAACCCAAAGAGTGTCTTTTCTCACTTTGTTTTTTCCTTTGGGTAAATATTGCAGAAACTGATTTGGTTAGCGAAGTAGGAATTTGTAGAAAGATCTGAATTTAAGGCAGTCTTGTAATACCACTTGCTGCTTGATTTCAAAGCGAAATCCAAGTGAAAAGTCCTAGCATAAATTTTTTACTGTTTCCACCTGGAGTGGAATAGGAGAACAGAACACCCCTGACAACCTCCCTCCTGAAAGTTAGCTTTTTTTCTCCTCATATGATACTGATGCTACCAAATATACTTCCTCCTCCAGGTGGAATCTAAACATCAGAAATGCTACTTTGACAGCAGAAGCAATTGCTTTAAGAATTGTTCTAAGCACATTGAAAACATATTTGTAATCCTGCTTTGGTGGCCCCTAACATAACCTGCTCAATGTAGAGAAAAGGCTTCACAGATCTGGTTTCTTACTGATTAAAAACAAATGCCTATTAAATATAAAAACCTATGCTAACATTCAGTTAAAATTTCAATTTTTAAACAAAACTGCAAATTGATCACATAGAAAATACTGTGTATCAAGGTATAAATTTAAGGCTAATGTAGTTAAAAATATTGCATATGTTCAGTGTGGGTGAGTTAAGGTACTCTTTGTAATGTTAATGTTTTTATTTTCTGACTCTCTTGTTTGCATTTAATTTTCTTCTTAAAGAACAAATACAGAGGCGAGAAGGAGGAGAAAAACATAGCTGCATTGCTAGGAAATTGCACAGCTCTCTAAATCTTAAACTCAACTATCTGCAGCACTAGTTATCCAACTTTTTGTGCAGTTCCACAGTGCTGCAGACAGTCCATTTAAACTGTGATCTGTACTCCCCCCACCCCCATTATTTTCTGTTAACATGTGTGAACCATTTTGATTTGCTTTGAGCTTTTATTTTTGAAATACCTTTTTAAGATGGCACAGTGATTAGTCTTCAGTGAGTGGTTTCATATGAAGTTTGAAGTTTATTATTTTTTGTTTCCTAGGCTCAAACAGTTTGAAGTTTCTTCTGAAAGCAAGAAAAACATGATTTTTTCTCCCCCGCCCCCTCCTCTATAACTCTGAGGGAGTTTAAAGGAATTTCTTTACTTCCCACCTCAGGGAAAGACCAATCATTAAAAGTTTGAGGCCTCTGGAAAGTTATAGGCAAGTGAAAAAACAGTCTTACAACTGTTGGCCTGCAACCATAACTATAACACTTGATATATTAAATTGATGTAAGCTCTCAGGTTTTATTTGGAGATTATTGCCACTTGAATTCAATAGGAAAAGTTAGCTGGAAAAGGAAAAGTTAGAACTGGGCTGTTGGTATCTAAGATGAATTTTGAGTTGATACTGTTCCTTGACTATTACTCTCCTGAGTAATGTGGTAGCCTAGTGTTTGTCTGTGGAAAGATAAGAAATGTGTCAAAATGCGTCCTTTTTTATAATATGTATCAGAATAATATACAAATGTTTGATATTTGTGATAATTTCTTTTAATAGCCACCACATGCTGGAAAATTATTGTCTGTATTAAAACACATGCCTCATAAATATGGTCCTGATGCCTTCTTCAACTTTCCAGGAAAAAGTGCTGCAGTAAGTAGTTATATATGTTTTCTATACCTTTGTTATCCTACTCTTACTACTGGCTCTTTTTTGTCGTCTATTCTCATTTGGCTGTTTTGTTCCATGTATACGGTGATATTCACCAGTCTGACATTTTCCTAGAGAGAACTATTTTTCCAGGGTGGTAACTACATTAAGATTAACTGAAATATGTTACTATTAAATATGCACTACATTTATGGAAGGACAAACGATCTAAGCTAAAGAAAGATTGGATACAAGTAATAGCCGATATCTTAATAGCCCATAGCCCATTTTGTGAGATTGGTTCAATTAACTCACTCTTATTTGTTGCAAGCAGAATCTTTATTTCTTCTCTCAATATTCCTTAGCAGTGGTGTCTGTCCTAGTGTGCAACACACAAGTGAATCCCCAAATATTATACATGTTTGGGAGGCACTCCTGAGAGAGCCTCAGAATGCACCAAATTGAAAGTTGGCTCAATTCTGTTGTCTGTTCATTTTTATGGCAGGAGACACAGAACCTCCCCAGAGACTTCCCCCCCTTCAAATGATCAGACATCATACATGTGAATATAACAGCACATGCTATCTTTATGAGCTGACTCATTTATATGCTGGCCATATGGAAAAAAATCAGCATTCACTGCACTGTTTTACTGCAATTTCTATTACACATAAGAAATACTACCAAAATATTGCTGCAAGGAAAATATAAGAAACACCAGGATAAAGCTAACACTGGCTAGGGCCCTACCAAATTCATGGCTGTGAAAAATGCATCATGGACCATGAAATCTGGTCTTTTGAAATTTGGTGTTTTTACCCTATACTATTCAGATTTCTTGTGGGGGAGACCAGAGTGTCTCAAATTGGGGGTTCTGACCCAAAAGGGAGTTGCAGGGGGGCCACAAGGTTATCTTAGGAGGGTTGCAGTATTGCCACCCTTACCGCTGCGCTGCCTTCAGAGGTGGGTGGCCAGAGAGTGGTGGCTGCTGACTGAGGGCCCAGCTCTGCAGGCAGCAGCACAGAAGTAAGGGTGACAATACCATACTATGCCATCCTTACTTCTGAGCTGCTGCTGGTGGCAGCTCTGCCTTCAGAGCTGGGATCTGGCCAGCAGCTGCCGCTCTCCAGCTGCCCAGCTCTGGAGGCAGCGCCGCTGCCAGCAGCAGCGCATAAGTAAGCATAGCAGTACTGCAACCCCCTCCTCCCCCCCAACTCCTTTTTGGTCAGGTCCCTACAATTATAACACTGTGAAATTTCAGATTTAAATCGCTGAAATAATGAAATTTACGATTTTTAAAATCCTCTGACTGTGAAATTGACCAAAATGGACTGTGAATTTGGTAGGGTCCTAACTATGGCACAGTAAATACTTGAATTCAGTATAAATTCTGCGGCATTCATTGATGGTAAAGAATTTGTACACTTGAAACATTTTTTATTTTTAAACCAAACGTTCAAAAATGTCATGCAGTTGTCCTCACTAAGGATCAAATTCATCAAAAACAAATCTTTTAGTTGTTAAAAGAGTAACACACATTTTTTCACAACCTCACACATAACTCAACAGATAGTTATTGGATCATCTTACACTCTCTTTCCATATATATTCTCCCCACTCAAGATCACACACTAACCACCTTCTTTCTTGAAATTAAACATAACATACTTAAGCCCAAAATAAATTTATGTAAACGAAAATTTAAGGAACTGAAAAATAAAGATAAAAATAGAAATATTTCTGAAACCTTCACCATATGATAACTATAATGGGAGTATTAACATTATTTTGGCTACCTGTACATTGTTTTATTAAATTCTTATACTGTATATCGTATGTAAGTGCCTCAAGACAATGAGAAACTTATTATAGGAATCTTAATATTTTAGATAATTAGCCCAAGCTATCCTAAAAAGCTCTGTGATTAAACCAATTGTAATGATATCAGCCCAAAAAAGTTGTCAGTCTCAGACATATAGACTTATTAGTGAATTACAGCTTTACAGAAGGGTTGATAGCATTGTGTTTGGGCCGGGATAGTTACACAGAGTTGGGGAGCATAATGAGGAGTCTGGCAACATTTATGTTCTTTGATGTTTTTGTTCATCGGTATTGATCATCTGGACAGCATCTTTGATCAGAGGGTTATGGAAATCTGAGTTAAAATTTACATTGCAAGCCTGTGAAACAAAATGGTGAAAGGTGAATGGTAATGGTCAAAAACTGTTCAAAACAAAGAAGCAAATACTATAAAAATTGTTGCGCATATAGTTAGCAACTTACAGACTTTCTAGTTAATGTAGGTACTGTGTTTTTATTTGAAAATTTTGGCTGGAAGGATTGCATAATGTCTTCTTTTGAAAGCAGGGTTATAAGTCTCACATTTTCATGTCTATATTTTTCTGGAGGGCCAAGTTAGGCATGAATTTTCTGCAGATAAGACTGTTTCAGGCAAAATCTAGAGACTTTCATTTTTATGCCTAACTTCTTTCCACAATCAGTTACTTTCCTCCTCTTTGGGATGCAGTTTGGTGTGCCAGCATTGTAGAGATCACGAATCTGTAAATTTCACTTTGCTGTTAGTACAAAACAGAACAAGATGAGCTTAAGGCAATTTTGGACCAAATATTTCTCCAAAAAAGTTTCGTTTCATTATGAGTTATTTTTATTGAGATATAAATATTTTTGTCATGAAATCTTTATAATCTAAAGATTCTTTAAAAAACAAAACAAAACAAAAAACAAACAAACCTTGGACCATTTTATTATTGCAGTAAGACATAAGAAGTCTGTAACTTGCACCATGTCCTGTCTTAATTCATAAATTATTTTGTTAAATCTTTCTGTATTAAATATCTATGTTACTTCCTTTAGGCTATTGCCTTACCTCCTATAGCCAAGTGGCCCTACCAGAATGGATTTACTTTTCACACTTGGTTAAGAATGGATCCTGTAAATAATATCAATGTGGATAAGGATAAGCCTTACTTATATTGGTATGTATAACGAAAACCTACATTTCTAATGTTTTTTTCCCATTTATATTCATTTTTCAATGGTCTCTGCTTACACTGAAAAAACCAATAACCTAATAACTTTTTTGTTTACATGCAAATTTAGTTTCATTTCTTTAAAAAAACTTTTTTATAGTTTTCGAACAAACAAAGGACTTGGTTATTCTGCTCACTTTGTTGGAGGCTGTTTGATTGTGACATCAATAAAGTCAAAAGGAAAAGGATTCCAGCACTGTGTGAAATTTGATTTCAAGCCACAGAAGGTGGGTTAAGCAAGTAAATAATTCAAATAAGTGCCTTAAATTACCACAGTACATGTGTGTAATTAGCCATTAGTTGTACTAATTTTTTATTTAGATCAGTGTCCTAGTAAGCTTAGGGGAGTGTTCTGTTTTGTTTGCTAATCACTAACTTCATAGTGACCCAGAAAAATATTGTCTGCAAAAATATTACCAATAGTATCAGTTGGCATTATTTAGAGAAGTAAATAATACCAACTTTTATTTTCATAAGTAAAACTTAAACAAATGTACATAGTAACCTGCCATTTTTTAAGATTGTGATTTAATACATTCCCAAGTGTAAAAGAAAAAAATACAATTTAATAAAGAGTAAGTCACACATGTGACCTAGGTGAATAGTGGACTGAAAGTTAGATCTACTGACTGTTGGTTTAATTATGTGAAATGAGTTGATGGTCTTTGTTTCTTGCTGGACAAGTGTCCACATCAGTTGGTATTTGTGCAGCAGAAATGGTAAAGATTGAATAGATATCAGGATCTGGGAAATTGCTTGAAAAGTGTAGGAGAACTTTCACTGTTCCTCTTATGGAATTCACATCCTGGTTAGTGAATAAATAGAAGACTTCAAATTTGTTAGGGCTGACTCCTGATATGATTAAACTAAGTAATATACACCACAATGTTACTGCTTTTAACTCTTTAAAAATTAGCAAAATAATAACTTATAGGTGTACTAAAATGTATTTATTATGGGAAATTTATGTTTCTGTATGACCTATCCCTAAGAACTCTCAGCACATATAGACAACCTGAAAGTTCTAAGATCTATTCTTGTCTATATTCTCTCTTCTTGCTTCTATTCCAGCTTTCTCCCACTTACAGTTTTCCTGTTTCCTTTTCCCTGATAAATTCTGTGTAAAGTCTTTATCCTAAGTGAGTGATTTACTCTCACTGTCCTGTGCTATGAGCCAAAGTTTCTCTCAATTCTCAGTTTGGGTGTGGACTAGTGGATAGAGCAGGGAACTGGGGCATAGGAGACCTGGGTTCTGTTCTTGACTATGCCATTTGCTGGCTGGGTGATCTTGGGCAAGTCACTTCCCCTCTGTCTCAGTTTCTTCATCTGTGAAATGGAGATGATGATGCTTACCTCTTTTGTAAAGTGCTTTGAAAGCTATTGACAGAAGAAGTGCTATATTAGAGCTAGGTATAGCTAGGTATAATTATTATTATACATGTTACCTCTTCCCTGATAATTCCTGGGCTGATGGAGTGTTGAAGAATCTACTGGAGACTTCCCAGGAGGGAAGAGTGTGTAGATGAGGACAGACAGGACTCAAAGCAGTCAGTACACCAACTTTGACAAAAAGCACAGGTTATTCTTCCTCACTCATTACCTGGGATGACCCCAAGAATAATTGTTTATAACTAGTATCAGAGGGGTAGCCTAGTTAGTCTGGATCTGTAAAAGCGGCAAAGAGTCCTGTGGCACCTTATAGACTAACAGTCGTATTGGAGCATAAGCTTTAGTGGGGGTGAATACCCACTTTGTCAGATGCATCTGATGAAGTGGGTATTCACCCATGAAAGCTTATGCTCCAATACATCTGTTAGTCTATAAGGTGCCACAGGACTCTTTGCTGTTTATAACTATTCTACCTAGTGTGATCACAACCAACTAGTATGTTTTTAAACACCACTTAGCACTGGCTATAGACAGATAGTGTTGTTTGTTTAAAAATATATGTATTAACGTGTGTTGGCTAACATGGTTATGAAACACACACCTTGTTGTCCTGATCTAGTCAGAGGCTTAACATTTTTCTCAAGCAGTTTCAAGAACACAAACTCATGTGTAAGAGAATACACTAAATGAATCATACTTCGTAATTATCCAGTGTATCCAGAAAGTGTGGTGTTCTCAACTAAGATGAGTTATTCCACATTACTGAATAATCATATTTAGCAACATGGCATGACTTGATTTAAATGGCATTGTTCAAGGCTTCCTTGCATATTTAGTAGACTTGAAAATATGTTTGCTTTCTCAAATGGAGCATTTGTCTGTTGTTTCTGAAGGGGAAAAAAAATGTAAACATCTCCAGGAGAGCAGGTCTCCAAACACATTTTGGTAATTCTTATCAGTAATCCCTTGCTGTACATGGATTCTGGTTTACCATTTGACACAGTCCTCGGAGAATCATTAAGCTTTGGTGTCATCCTTGCTGCTCTTTCGGAATGATTGCAAGAAATTCATTGCCCTGAGCCCAAGAAAATGTAAATACATTAACAAAGGAAGATACAGTATTTCTTTTGTCAGTTATTTTGGCATAAATAGTGCCCTTCATATTGTCAGGGAAAAGTTGTGTACTGTGACCGTATATCTCTTTTAAGATTATACACCTATTTGTCAGTACACAGGGTGACTGGGCACACTCTTTGGGTACAGTGAATTAGGCTAGGCCAGCAGTGAACTTTGCATTTCTTCCACATTAATTTAAAAAAATCCCTAAATCATCTACAAAAAGTTTTCTGCCTTTTCGTAACTCATATCAATAGTTTTGATCTTCTGGGATACAGCTACTTTGAGTAACGTTTAAAACATACTTACACAGGCTTAAAGTATCAATAATTATTCTCTTCTTATTCAGTGGTATATGGTTACTATAGTGCATATCTATAACCGCTGGAAGAACAGTGAACTTCGGTGCTATGTGAATGGGGAACTCGCATCATATGGAGAGATAACGTGGTTTGTCAATACCAGTGATGTAAGTAGCTTTTATTTAATTTTGTTACTTAATTTCATACTTGGAATGGCTGAAATTGTTTTTTGCACTTGATTATATTTTTAGGTTTTGATAACCTGGCTTGAGAGGGAAAAAGTAGGTTTTCCAATAGAACTTTGAATAAATAATTAAAAAAACCAGTAAACTTCTGTACCTGGTGGCCTACATGGCATTTTACCAATAGATCAACTAAGAGAATGCAAATGTAGTCAGTGTGTTAGATGGCCAGTAAAAGTTATGGACCCAGTTCTGCAAACACCTAAGCACATTCATTATATTACTTAAATGAACAGTCCATTGACTAGTCTCTGGAGTAAAGTTATGTGTATGCTTAACTGTGTGCAGGATTGGGCCCTATAGGTGAACACTATCATCTCTCTTTAAAAACTTATTTTACTCTCCTGCAGTTTCACTTTCTACTCTCCTAATGTGTGGAAGAGAGTCGAATAATACTGATCTCCAACATGGTATTGAGATATCAATACAATTAATGTTACCCTTATACTCCAGAAAGGTCTGATTTTCTGATGATGTATGTTTGACAGTTCTAGAACGTAGCTTCTTAACTCTCTCGCCCTGTATATATTTGCAGATATGTCCTATTAGTATTTGAGTAGAGTAAAAATTGCAGAGAACATTTAGTTTATTTTTAATTAATATTGTATATTATGTATTTTACAAATTTTAGACATTGCTGACAGCTAAATAAAATGAAAAATAATTGTTATTTTGCTTAAACCCCCACCCTTTTTTTTAAACTGCAGGTTTTGAAAACATTCATTTTATTTATTAATGCAATCTTTCAAAATTAGCATGAAAGTTTTACCAGCGTGGACACCCAATTTACTTGCCTTGACTATGAAGATTGATTTGAGTTGGGAGAGGGAGATTTTGCTTTTTGCCTGTCCAAAAATATTTTTTTCACCTTGATCAGTTATAATATTGAAAGGCTACTTTGGGTGTAAAATAAATTATTGCTTTTCTTAAGAATAACAGATACATAGTCCACATGATTAATACTTGTGTGCTTCACATTGAATCCTTTCTTGTCTTTTATTGTGTACAACTATATCCTGTGTTGTCCTTTTCAGACGTTTGATAAATGTTTCCTGGGTTCTTCAGAAACAGCAGATGCTAATCGAGTGTTTTGTGGGCAGATGACAGCTGTTTACCTTTTCAGTGACGCTCTCAATGCTGCTCAGATTTTTGCCATTTATCAGCTTGGCCTGGGATACAAGGTATTTTGGAGTTGAGTGAATAGTACCCAAAAGATTAATTCTAATAAGTCAATTTCTATAGTATTTTAGGATGTCAATGACGATGATGTATACAATGTTCTTACCAGCCTATTTTTTATTTACATAGGCTTATAGAAATAAACTATCTAATATCACAAAATTTAAATTAATCTATTCAATTTTATAAAAGTGTAATGAGGAAAGAAGTGTAATGAGGAAAGAAGTGAACATATAGATAATGCTATATGTTTGTCATGAACATGATTTGCTTGAGAAAAGTATGACAGTTGAGGTTTTTTGGGGGTGGACTTTATAACCCCATCCAGCTGCTACTGAGCATGAACTTTTATAAATATAACTTTCTATAGTCACTTGGGTTTCTAAATGATTTTAAACAGCTTTTCATAATTTTATTACAAAAAATATTTTGCTCAGTAATGTGACCCTGTGACTTTTTCCATTTTTCTATTTTTTAATGTTTTCTATTTTTGCCATGATGCATAATCTGCCTTGCGTAACTGATTTATAACAATGCTACAAGCCCATCTGCCTGAGAAGAGAGCATTTGATAATGTAATTAAAAACCATTCTTTATATAAATTCACTGTCAGAGTGGGAGTTGCAGCACAGCAGGAGAATTGTTTGCTGGTGTTTTGTTTTCCATCTCTTCTGTTCTATAAAACTCCAGTCCCACTCCATGACATGAAATAGATTGTACATGTATTAAACAAAACACAACCCCTCTCCCCTTCTCGACTTGGCGCACATTTAATTTGGTATTAAAACAAGGATCATGCAAATAATAAACTCTGTTTGCTGTCTTTACTCTCTCGTTGACTTCTCAGGAGTCTTGCTTTGGATTTTTGGGTGATGGGGAGGGACCTGCTGTCTAAGTGGATAAAGCACTAGCTATTAACTAAAAGAAAAGGAGTACTAGTGGCACCTTAGAGACTAACCAATTTATTTGAGCATAAGCTTTTGTGAGCTAAAGCTTATGCTCAGATAAATTGGTTAGTCTCTAAGGTGCCACTAGTACTCCTTTTCTTTTTGCGAATACAGACTAACACGGCTGCTACTCTGAAACCTAACTGCGGCTAGATCATTTTCTTCATTGAGGCTTGCGACCAAATTTACTTTCTTCATATCAGAAAAGTATCTTGATACCTAATTTAACATATTAAAAGTGAAGAGCACTGAGGTTTAATTCTGTTATGCTATTTACTTACTTGCTGTTTGTAATGTGGTAACCCTGATGGGCCTAAGTTGGGGACTGTGGCCCCTACATGCTGTAGAAATGCAACATTTTTTTGTCCTTACCTCTACCCAAAGAGCTTCTAAGTGAACACTGAGTAACAGACACTATATTTTATTATGTTTTTCTTTGCTTCCACAATGTCCCTGCTTTAGGGCACAACAATGCTGTATGATACTAACTCTACAAAAATTGTCCTGTCCTGGTGTTGTAGTGGGGCTGTTCTGATGCATTGCTGGAATAGAGGAGTAATGCTGTTGTAATTGTTTTGTTTCCTGTTGTATTTTCTGTGTTAGTCACCTTAATTTTTTTTCTTTCTTCCATCATTCTAGGGAACGTTTAAATTCAAGACAGAAAGTGATCTCTTCCTTGCTGAGCATCACAAACTGTTACTGTATGACGGCAAATTGTCCAGTGCTATTGCTTTCACATACAATCCAAGGGCTACTGATGCACAGCTTTGTCTAGAATCATCCCCCAAGGATAACCCTTCTATCTTTGTTCATTCACCACATGCTCTCATGCTTCAGGTACTTTGGCACTTTTAGTAGACTTTCTGAGGAGAAAAATGGCTTGTACTTGTGAAGTCTGTAATCAGGATTTTTAGTGCCAGGTGAGAGGGCCCCAGATAATAGACTAATCAATAGAAGCTAGGAGAACTGCACTCCTCTCCTTCCTCAACCTTTTAGTTGGAGGTGTGGAGAATTGTTCTCAGCTCTTTAAAGTAACTCTCCTCCCTTTGTCATCAAGCCTCCTGACTTCTCCCCACTACTACTGCCTTACATCAGGCTCCCCTTTCTTATCACTTCTGGTCCCAAGAGGGAGGGATTTCCAACTTCTCCTAACCAATTTTGCTTCTTCTCATTGCATAGAGCAACCCTTCTCCACATCACACCTGTGCATTGTACCTCTCATCAGTGTATAAGCATGTCATCCTTCCCTTTCCTAAGTGAATTTGCTCACTTTTCCATTCTTAGAGTCCCAATTAAATTCTTCTTCAGGAAGGTTACATCAGAATTTTTTAAAGAAACACAGCAGAAGTTTAGAAAATAACTTTAAAAACAGCCTTCTTCCTTCTCCCCCCCCCCCCCCCAAAATTCCACAGCCCCCCAGTGTTTTTTCTTGAGGACATTCTATTGTAACTCTTGCTTCTTCCATCTCAGGGCCTCTAACACCTTGCTCTCCTCCGCTTCAGGAGAACACAGGGGCACTCCAGGAAGGGCCTGCAAGCTATGGAGCTGCTCTGTTACCAGAGACCATGTTTTGCTTTAGATGCTGGCCACAACCTATGTGCCCATCTAAAGTCATCTTTGAGGACCAGCACAGTAGACCGGAATCTCAGGCTTTGGGTCAGGCTGGGACTGGGACATCTTTTTAGTGGTTGTCTCCTCAACAGTAGCAGCCATTACTTGTAATAGTTTCTTTGTGTGGTAGCAGTCTGATTTTATATCAAAGATACTCTTAAGTATTTAAGTCAAATGATAACTGTTTTAAAGTGGTTTTAGAAAAGGTTTTAATCTTTTAATTCTTCTTTGGCAGGATGTGAAAGCAGTCCTAACACATTCTATCCAAAGTGCTATGCATTCAATTGGAGGAGTGCAGGTACTTTTCCCTCTGTTTGCACAGTTAGACCATAGGCAATATTCATTGGACCAAGTTGACACAACTGTTTGGTGAGTACGTATGGCTACCTCATTTCATCTTCCATTTTAATTTAAGTGAAATGGGTTTTTGCTTAATTTAAATGGTCGCAGAGCTAGCTACCTTATGTTGTAAAGAATTCTCGTGGTTTACAGTTCTTTTTTCCCCCCAGTAAGATAGAGCAGCAGTAAAGGGAAGACTTCTTATGTAAGGCTTCTCTACATAAGCACAATACATTGAAGATTACATCTGCCTTAAGTGATAGAAATGCACAGCTTCTAGTAAATAGTTAATAAAATAACTGAAGGTTAAACTGGAAACCGTGTCTGTCTGTGTTTAGCTATGAGGCAAAGAATTAACTCCAACTAATGGAATTGCAGCACTATTATTTGGATGTTTTATTTCTGTTCTCAAGGCCAGAAGTTGTTACGCCTCATGTGAACAGGACTGTGAGTTGAGGTCAAGATTATTGGCACCATGTTTTCTATGCAAACTTGCACAAATGAAAACAAATATGCACATCATGTTATAGTTATATAATGCATTTATGGGGCATTAGAAGTATGAAAAATCTACATGAGCTCTCTCCTGTCAAAGGGGCGGGGCGAGCTTCTTGAATCTCCATGGAGGATAGCTCAGTGGTTTGAGCATTGGCCTGCTAAACCCAGGGTTGTGAGTTCAATCGTTGAGGGGGCCATTTAGGGATCTGGGGCAAAAATTGGGGATTGGTCCTGCTTTAAGCAGGGGGTTGGACTAGATGACCTCCTGAGGTCCCTTCCAACCCTGATATTCTATGATTCTATGATAAGTTGATGATCCTGAGCTGTAGTGCATGATGAGTGAAAGATGTGTTATGTGTCCAGGCTAACTCAAGCTTGGTATGAGTTGTCAAGAACAAGGGCTGAATGTAAAAATTGTAAGGGACTCTGTAGTTAAGGTTGCAAAGAAGTTTCCTTTAGAACCACTTGTTTTACAAACTCAAAACATTCCAAAACACATTTTACCTTTTTGGCTACTTTATTTTTATGGTGTGAGTGTAGGAGAAACTGAAGCAATAGCCTTCCTTAGCAGTAGGCATACACGTAGCCTTTACTGAGGGCTAGTACCTTTGCTTCGATTAAAATGCTTTTCATTTAGTAAAGTTATTACTATTTGTAAATTATATTCTGGGGCATGAGCATTAGAAAACTGATGAAGGTATAGACATGTATTTGAAGAAAAATCCATATTTGGGGTGGGATTTAATCCCATTGATTTCTGCTCCTAAATCCTTTAGGCATTTTTAAAAATCTCCTGAATTCCTAATTTAAATATGAACTAATAAAACTCTTTTATCAACTTCAAAACTTAGTAACTTCACAACTGCTAAACTGATTTTTTTTTCTCCTGCTTGGCTCTTGTGTTAAGACCTATAAAATTATGTCTAAAAGAAATTCAGTAGAAATAAGTTATACACTTATAAACGTGCAATTTATAGTACTCCATTACCAGTGTAGTGTAGAATGATAAAGGTTTATACCAATTAATGTTCATGTACAAAAATACGTATGTAAGCCACAGTATTAACAGGCAATAGCCAGTCCTGAGCCAGCTAGGGGCTTAAGTCTAACTGTGTGTATTTTACTGACACCAAAGCACTAATTGACCTTTATGTGCATTTTGTTAAAGAACTATGGAATTTTTTTCTTTTAAAGAGGCAGAAGAATAATGCTAAAATTATGTACAAAAAACTTTTAATGGAATATTAAGGGTACACAGTTAAGTTCTCTAAAATCAGGAAATACAAAAGCTAAGTTTGAATATATGACCTTCTTGCATTTAGACCTTAGGATCGTTTTTAATTATGTGCTCATATACTAATTAATGATAAATGAAGTGTAACTTTTTCACCTCCTTAAATGCATGTGCTGATTCCTAGGTTGTGAGTTAGTGGGAGCAGTGAAAAGGGGAGAATGCATATCAGTTTGCAACCTAACATCATAATGTTTTTTATCATGGTCTTACAAGAGAAATGAGCATCTCTGTGATGGGGTGGGGAAAAAAAAAACCAAAAAACCCTTTTTTTGGTGGATGTGGGGGGAGCTCATCTTCACAGTGGAACAGTAAAAAGAAAAGACAAATATGTTTGCTTCTCAGTTCATGACTTTTGAGTCCTTAACTGGACAATCTTAATCTTGCATTAATATTTCTGCATTTAATGCAGAAACTTTTGCTGTTCTAAAATCTTCTTGTCTATTTCTTCCTCCACCCCTCTGTTACCTTCAAACCTACAAAGAACTTGCGTATATTCGAGTTTTTCTTTGCTTCAGCTCTGTTTTGCAACCTCTGATCTTCCAGCCACAGAAATTGATGAGACTTCATAGCAGTTAAGGAGTGGCACTGACTAAAGTGGGATTGTTCAAAGCAGTTAGTCCTGCTTTAAATGGAAGTGCTGCCAACATCATTTAGCCTGGCTGAAAGCAACAGAATGGCAGTTGAAATGGAACATAGGTCTATTGTATGGCAGAACTGGTTCAAAATTGGAAGTAATTGGTGATCAGTGGTTTCAGGAGTGTTTTGCCATTGGAAAAGTATCACAAAGTTCAAAGTTTTGAGGTAGAGAAAATCCAGTAGCAAGTAGGAGACTGATCACTTTGGAAAAGCAGCCATGTTAGTCTGTATCCGTAAAAAGAACAGGAGTAGTTGTAGCACCTTAGAGACTAACAAGTTTACTTCAGCATCAGCTTTCGTGGGCTACAGCCCACTTCATCGGTTCCATTCTGTGCACCTGATGAAGTGGGCTGTAGCCCATGAAAGCTTATGCTCAAATAAGTTTGTTAGTCTCTAAGGTGCCACAAGGACTTCTGTTCTTTTTGTAACTTTGCAGTCTTAAATGTTTTCAAATTCTAATCTTAATCTTAATTTAGCCATTTAAGTGTTGTGTTAAATGTACTTATATACTGGAAGATGAAAGAGCTTAGCTGGGAACATATTCCTGTGAGGGAATTGAATACCTCATGTCTATGACTCTCTGAAACAGCTGATATTTCTTTAAGAAACTGAATGATTTCAATACACTGTATTTTTCAGTTCTACTTTGCTGGCTTTCATCATGGAGTTGCTGAAGAACTCCATTGCTATGCAAGAGCAGATGCTTTCCTGTAAGGGCTTCCTTGTGATGGGACATACTCTTGAAAAGGTAAAACAAAATCACTCCTGATCTATGGTTAGCTTATCAGAATTTTTTTTGCTAATATTTTTCTGTATTGTCAAAGTTTAAAAACAGTTCTGTAAACGAGTCTGAAGAAACCTTTTTTTTTTTTAAAACAGTCTTCCAAAGTCCATGTTACCAGAGTTGTGCTAGAACTATGTCTTGCCTTTGCTAAATATCTGAGTAATTTGCACAATGGGATTCCGTTGCTTAAACAGCTGTGTGATCACATTCTCCTTAACCCTGCAATATGGATTCATACACCAGCGAAGGTAAAATATTTTGGTTTTGTTAATCACATATCAGTTCAGGTTAGAAAACACTAGGTGGTGGTGATGATGATGATACTGTTTGTTCTTAATGAAGTGGCATCCAAAGGCCCAGTCAGGATCCCTCCTTCTTTTTCTTTTATGCTTCTTTTCCTGGTGAGCATTGAGGTGGCAACATGGAAAGTAGGGAGGACCAGACTTCCTTTTCCTCTGCTACAGGTTCCAGCTCCTCCTGTGGGATTCCTCAGCATTCCCAGGCCAGCCCAAAGCTGTAATTCCTCCAGTGTATCCTGGGTCAGCCTTGGGCCCTCTGCCCAGTGGGATGTGCCCGGTAAAGTTCTAACGGAAGTGTCTTGGGGTCATCCTTATGAGGTGCCTGAACCACCCCAACTGCCTCCTCTCGATCCAAGGCCCTCCTGAATAGCCAAGCTTGTCTCTCTATCTTGGGGGGGTGGGGTTGACCTAATTTTCACAACTTCAGCTACATGAATAGCATAGCTGAAGTCAGCATATCTTAGGTTGAGTTACCTGGCTGTGAGGATGGCAGCGAGTTGATTGCTGCCGCTCCCCCGTTGACTCCCCTTCCGCCTCTCGTGAGCTGGAGTCGACGGGGAGCGCGTTCAGGGATCAATTGATCGCATTTAGACGAGATTTGATAAATCGATCCCCGATAGATCAATCACTACCTGCTGATCTGGCGGGTAGTGAAGACCTGCCCTTAGAGAATAAGCCCAGACACCCTGAAGAGAAAGGTTTCAATCAGGATCCCATTGTTCTAAATGCTGTATGTACATAGGCTGACACAGTCCCTGCCTGAATAGTTAATGTTCTAATTGAAGATCTGGATCAGTAGCATGAGACTATTTGCATTCTATCGACAAAGCAGCCCTTTAAAATAGTATAGTCCAACTTCAGTTCCACTTACACTTCTGCTATGGTGTGAATACGGAGTTTAGTGGATCGGTGCCAAATGATTCCAGATTTAACTATACTGTAAACCAAACATATATCATCTCAGTGATACTATAGAATTACTATGTACATAAAGTATATTAAGGCATAAAAATATTTGCCTGTGGTCCTATACTAATTTCCAATCCATACAGGTATAACAGTGCGCCAGAATTGAAGCCAGAACACTGGCAAAGATTATTTTTAACTCTCAATAGAACAAAAGACAAGTAATTTAGCACTCAAGGAGAAGTATGGAAATATAGGGTTGTTTAAAGATGCTGCAGGCAGTGCTGCACCTGTTTTGTAGCTACATAGGGAAATTTTTTTTTCATGGCTTTTAAACTGACATATTTCAAGAGCATGAAATTCACTTAAAAGCTCCATCATCAGAAGGCTATAAACGTTGACATTCTGTGGTGAATTCCATAAGCTGAGCCAAAATTAGATACAAATAAGTTTTGAAACATCATAAATGAATGATGTTATATGGGTACAGTTAAATTAAGCCTTTATAAAAGCATTGGCAGCATCTTTTATGTTTGCAGAAGGGGAAATAAGCAATACAAATCTATAAGATCGTAACTTTATAATGAACTGTTTATATGAACTTTACAAACTGTTTCATATTAAGGGCATACTTTCCACTTGAAAATCCCACTTCTAGGAACTCTAATAACACTTAAGATAACTATAACTGAAAAGCTAGTAGAGAGAATGTTTTTCTTCCTGTTTAGTTTGATTTATGCATTTGACAGCTCTTTGTGTATTGTCATTTTCAGTGTTCACTCTGTATGTGAGTTTTTTCTAGCCAAACATAAACAGGAGAACAAGTAAACACTTTCCAAGAGGGTGACAGGTTTCTGCTGTTGCTTCACCTTGTTTTGATCATGTTGGAACTTGCAGAGCTGCTGATTGATTCCTGATAACTTCTGTTGGAACACATGGTGTTCATTAACCCTATCCTGGATATAAGGGAGTCGGAGTGGCCATATAGACAGAGTAAGGGCTTGTCTACAAGGAAGTTAGTACAAGATAGGGTGTGAGTTTACAGCACATGGACTAACTCCCTGTGTGGACACTTACTGCACACTGCAAGTGCACTTGAGCACCTTAGCTTAGTACACTTTAAAGCGTACTAAGCTATCAAGCTAAAGCAGATACAGGCATTTTTAGTGCACAGTAACAGTGTCCGAGATTGGTGTGGACTGATCTTCCCTTAGGAAGAAAATAGAGGAACAGCTACTATAGGAAACTATAGAAAAAATCTTGGGCTGGAATTTGTTACTGTTTTTTTGTAAATAGAGATAAACTTCACTAAGGGGGTGAGTTTTGACTCTGTACAATGTGTCAGAGGCTGTGTTTTGGAAAGTGAGCTGCTTGGACCCTTACCCATTTTTAAAGACTCTTCTAAAAATCAAAAAATTAGACCATGTTATGTTTTGGGTGCTCTATCTGAAACAGGAATTGTTAAAATGTCACTGCAATAAAACATTAAAAATGTCATTGTCCCTTGTATGATTTAGACATGCACTAATGTCTATAGCACTATTTTACATAGATACTTCACAAAAAAGGAACTTTTCCCTTAGGGAACAGTAGCACCAGGAATCTTTTTTATTGCCCTTTCATTGTGCTCCAGAGAAGGACAGTGACATAGAATTTTTATTCTGGCAGTTAGATGTAGCTATCAATATAGCCACTCCCAAGCATTTTTTAAAAAAGAAGCCCCCCAGAAATGATGAGATGGAAAAAAAAAATGGGGGATTCACACATTCAGACTAATTTTCACAAGCAAAGGCCAAAATGTGGTGTTTTAAAATGAGATTCTCTCATATTCACATGACTCCAGAGGCTTGGACATTTAGAATTATACCAAATATCATGTTTCAGAGTAGCAGCCGTGTTAGTCTGTATTCGCAAAAAGAAAAGGAGTACTTGTGGCGCCTTAGAGACTAACAAATTTATTTGAGCATAAGCTTTCGTGAGCTACAGCTCACTTCATCACACTTCCCCTAGGATTAATCTGTAGCCCCATGCACATGAGTGCTAGATCCCTATCCTATGCTCCCCACTCACATATCCCATCTCCAAACATGGTTCCCAAGCCCCTAAACTGCCATGTCCCCATATACCTAAAAAATAACATTTATGTGTATCTTGTAACATTTGACATTGAATGCGTCTGATGAAGTGAGCTGTAGCTCACGAAAGCTTATGCTCAAATAAATTTGTTAGTCTCTAAGGTGCCACAAGTACTCCTTTTCTTTTTACCAAATATCATGAGGCTTGTGGTAAAATCAAAAAAGTTTAGTAACTATTTGGCGAGGCTACCCTAGTGATTATCTTCATTTACTCTGCTCTTTTTTACATTAGAATTTTTAAAAATTGGATAAAATTAAGAATGGAATTGCCTAATTTACTACCATTTTGACTTACCTCCCTGTTGTGTGTGTGTGAAATCATAGCTGACATTTTCAATTTGTTCTTAACTGGATGTTGTAGGTTCAGTTGATTCTGTACACTTACCTGTCTACTGAGTTCATTGGCACTGTTAACATATACAATGCAGTTCGGCGAGTTGGGACAGTTCTTCTGGTAATGCATTCCTTAAAATATTACTACTGGGCCGTGAACCCTCAAGATCGCAGTGGTATTACTCCAAAAGGTGTAGGTATGTATACATTCTTCACCCTTCATCAACACATGAGTATTCTGAACCTCTTCACTTGAAGTGCACTGTTTTGTGTGGTGTGTAGAATGGATGGGATCCCAGGCAGTGTTTCATTTGGTGGAAGGATTCAGCACACCAGTTCTAACAAGCAGCTTTGTCCATAGGGTGCTGTCTTTTTTGACCCCACCGCCCCAGACCCTGAAGAGAATAAATATGTTCCCCCAGCCCCCAGGATCTATGTACATTATTAAAATATATCATACTGGGGACGATGTTAAAAGTGCAGAGCTAGGCTTCCTATCAGCATTTCACATACTCAAAGACATAACCTATTTATAGAGCTCATTCAGGTATTGGGTCTCTTGAAGCTTCAAGAACCTAATAAGACACAGTGATGAGAATGGGGGAGCTGAGAACAGGCATGATGAGCCCATGTGATAGACATAGATCTCAGTGATTGATGGGAAATGAGAATGAGCATGCTACAGATGCACAGTGCTGAGATAGGATGAGGTGCTGAAAATAGGCATTCAGTGCATGCCACTGACACGCAACACTAAGACCAAAGGAGCTCAGAACATAGAGACTTGATGCTTAATACTGGCACCCACTACTGAAAAGTGGGGCTGGCAGAATGAAAACGCATCACTGAGATTGGGAGAGGGAAGAGAACTTCCCATTGAGATGAATTATGAAATTAACTCCTCTCAGAGGTGTTTTGGGCTGTATTAATCTCCATGGAGTCCAACCCATTGAGTTGAGACCACCACATGGAGATTAATGTGGCAACTCCTGCCTTTGCAAGCCATCCTGAAGCTTTTGAGAAGGGAGGAAGGATTTCTAGAGCTCCCCTTTCAACTCCTGATGGGCAAGGGGAGCCCCACACTTTTCTCCAGCCTTTTGTTCCCAACTGGAAGAAGGGGCTCTGGGAGTTCCTATCACCCTTTCTTGGAGTAAGGGTTGTACTGTACTCCCTATGATGTTGCCTCCAGCTGGTAGTTGTGCTCCTCATAGTTTCTTGGCTACCTTGTTATCAGCCTACGGAGGGAATGAGGATCGGAGAGATCTGGTTGCTGAAGGCCATATAGGTATACCCAGGAAGTTCTCTCATGCTAGTCCTCCTTCAGGGGCTGCTTAATTCTGTTACTCTCACTACCCCCACCACCACCTTCTCAAACAAGGGAAATTCACTAACAAACTTTGTGAAAGGGAAATTACATTTGCTTTGTAGTGTGTTGAACCCTGGAAGGAATGAAGATTTTTTGTTAGTAAGAACTTGTCTACCCATAAAATTGAACTGGTTTACCTAAAGGTATGTTTCTTTACCGATTTAGTGAAACTGGTGCAAGTTTGTGTGGAATACTCTTATTTCAGTTGAATGGCTTATTTTTGATTTGGGCTAAACTGAAACAAAGCACTCTTAAACCCAACCAAAGTGCATCTATGCAAACTTGCACCAGTTTAACTAAACTGGTTTAAAACCACATCTGTAGTTAAACTGGTGCAACACAAGACCTCATAGAGCTGTTTGAATTTGTATATTCTTTTGTTAAAATTGGGGTTGTATTTACCCCTCCCTGGTCATAGCTAATACAATGAATATCCTGGGGAGGAGCAAAAGAGCTATGATATTTGGATCTTTAAAATATTTCAGCGACAGATTATTTGGGGAGGGAAAGGAGAGAGTCTTCTCTGAGAGTCTTTGATCTCTAAATTGGGTTTCTCTAACTTGTAAGATAATGTTTGTATACAAGAGGTGTAGGGATACCTCACAACATCGTGTATTTATCTATAATATGCTAGTAGCGGCCCAAGCAGAAGAAGCCATTTTATATTGATTAAAACTATAGTGTAATCATCCCCTGAAAATATTTAAGAGCTGAAGTAGAATTTCTATTTAAAAAACAAACATACACAAAAATACTGCATATCAAAGTCGGGAAATACTAATTTAAAGTTATCGTATCAACTTAAACTCATTCTTTTGGCCCCATCCATGATATTTCAGTGCTTGATTTAGACACTGCAAAAGTTTTAATTTAAATGAAAAATCATTAAAAGAATTTTTAATATAAGGTTTTATAAAACTTTGACATAGCCTTATCTTGTAGCCTTAATTAGTGGTCAGTTCACTACACTATTAAATGTTAAAACAACATGTAGTAATATGTTTCCTGTGAGAAGCAAAGAAAATCAATGCATCTGAAATCATGCTCTGGTATATAAAAATATCAAATGTCTGACATTTTTTCAAAACTTTTATGCTTTAGTAACAAGATAACCATCAGTATTTCACATTCAGTAGATAGTATAATATATCCATCTTTTTGTATGTTTTTAAAGATGGACCACGCCCTAATCAGAAGGAGATTTTATCTCTGCGAGCATTCTTACTGATGTTCATTAAACAGCTAGTGATGAAGGTAAGGCAACTATAAATGGAGATTTTATTGTCCGTACTTCCTTTCCCATGAAATGTGTAACACTGACTCCATCTCTGGTGTGTGCTAATGCAGTATATCACTTGAGCAGTCTTTAAAGTATGTTGGAATTTTGGTGATTTTTGTAAGCAAATAAGGTACTTGAAACAACACTGAGGATGATCCTCCCATTTGGCCTGCTAATGTAAGTAGCATGAATTGATAAATGTTTGTTTAAACTGTTTCTTGTCAAAAGTAGAGCTGTTTGGTATGCAGTTAATTTATGAAGTGCCTTCCACCAAGGGAAACATAAGAACTCTCTATTTGATGAGATTCAATCTCCTAAATCTAATAGTGACAGAACCAGATGTTTCAGAAGAAGCATTAGTGTGGACAGAATAACTAGCTGTAGTAGGTTGTTATCCTTTATGCAGACAAGCCACTAGAGGATAACAAACACAGTTTGTCTGTCGGCTTCTCAACTATTTGCCAGATAATAGAGGGCTGTTGAGATTCAGTTCTAAGTTCTGGAGGGGTACATTCTCTAGTGGTTATAAATCCTTCTGCTTGTGTTCCTGTGCTATGTTCTCCCCGAGCCAGAGGTTCTCTGTTTGTTTCTCTTTTCTTTCCACCATGCTGGTCACCTCTCTACATTTTAATCATACTTCTTCTTTCTCCTCCATGCTCCTTAGGTACCAGAGGAGAAGTACTGAGAGCCAAGGAGACAGACTCCCTGCTCTCAATTCTGGTCCTTTGGAGTGGGGAGGACCAACTGCAGCGAAAGTCCTGCTCAGCCCCTTGGCTGGAGCATGCTAGTAGCAGATGAAACCTCCGGGTGGTTCAGCCACCAAATTCTAAAGAGCGTTTACTGAGCATTTGAAAACTGCTTTTTTTCCTGCCAGTAGTTTATAAGTAGGCCAAATTTGGGTGGATTTTTGCACGGTCAAAAAAAAAGTACTGATGCCAGGGTAACCCCCTGCCAAATGTCTAGACTCTGGTCCAAAACATTAAGGTACAAGTGTGTCGACATTAAATGGTTGTAAGACTTCTGTTTTAGCATGGTCAAAACAACTTATTTTTCCTGGAAACAAGTGAACAATTTTTGCTGAAACTTAAAAAACAAGAACAAACAAATGAGGCCTCAGGCAGATCTAGTAGAGATGCCTATAATAAATGTCTAATATTGTTTTTGGATCTTACTAAGCTCTTTGCCTCAATATCTTGTGGAAGTGAGTTCTGCAGGTTAATTTTGCATTGTACAAAGAAGTATTTACTACTTTAAATTTGATGTCCGTTTGCTCTCCTATTATGAGGGAGAATAGTAAGAAACTCCTTCTCTGTATCACTTATTGTTTCATATACATCTATTGTTGCCTCTTACCCTATTTTTGTATGTTACTTTCCACTTTTGGTGGCAACTTTTGTAGCTTAGATCCTTCAGTTGTGAATCCTTTAGGCTAGAGAACCTGTTACCTTAGAAGCTGTCATGGCACCTTAGATAAAGATGTAGCTGTTCTGCTTTATATGATACTTTCTTGTATAGAGCTCTTTAATAATGATTTTGTTATGCCGTGAAAGAAAGATGCTAGATACAACTTACATTTTATTTTTTGAGGATTATGGAGTGAAAGAAGATGAACTGCAGGCTATCCTCAATTATCTGCTCACAATTCATGAGGTAACTTTTTGTATTGTTTTTTGCTATTCCTGGTAAGTCAAGCAAAATTTCTTCACAATTCTTTCTAATAAAAATATCCTCTCTTGCCACAAGGTGGCTCTGCAGTAAGAAATAACAAATATAGTCCAAACCTAGAGTGCAGTGTGTTGAATTACCAATATCCTGTAGTGATTTAAACACTATGTTTAATAGTAGATTGAAGTTCATTAAGGTAGTAAGTCAAAGTAGTTTCCTATGCTGTTCAACAAACTGATCTATCAATCAGAAAAACAGATGGCAAGAGTGATTTAAAATAATCCTTATTTTATGCTACATACGAAATATTTTTGGTTTTATTTTTCACTGCTTTTATTCTGCTTCTTAAATAAAACAATACATTTAAAATCTAAATTAAAAATAAGAATGTTAATGAAGTCTAAGAGAAGCTTGTAAACTTAATTGGGAAAAAATGTTGGTTACCATTGATATATCTGCATCTTCATATTTTAGCACCAGGAAAAGGCACTTTATGCCAGATGTAACATCAAAGACAAGGAAAATGGGACCATAAATCTAACTGAACTAATCTCTTTAAGGGTGCTTGAAATGGGTAAAATAAGGAATTAATTGAATTTCACTTCAAGCAGTACAGATTTATTTTTCTTTTGTGTTTACACCTATATTTATCCTCTAGTCTCTACTCTGGTACTGGACTGAGTGTGCTTGGCTGCAGCATGAAATAAGCAATCCAATCCTTTCCCTTTATGCAGAAATGACAATCTAGGTAGCAGCTAAGGATTTATCTACCTGGAGATTTAATGTATGGCAAGCCGGGACGTGAATCTACACCGTGCTAGTTTGCTATGCAGTAGCTGACCGTGTGGACTCTACTACCAATCACTAAAAGTTCTGTAGTCAAAGCATGTTATGGAACTTCTGTGCATGGTGGTAGAGTCCACATGGCTAATTACTGCATGGCAAGTTAGTCTGCTGTCCTGGCTTGCTATGCATGAAGTCTCCATGTAGACAAACCCTGAGAATGAAACAAATCACGGAGCCTTCATTCAAATTTTATAAATAGAAAGGAGAAGTTAGCCTTCCACTCTTCCTCTTTTTTTAACCAGATGAGCCAGTGTGGTGTAAACTGAGAGCCAGGGTTGTTGAATGCCTAATGAAGCAATCTTTTCTCTTAAGTGGTTTAGGTACATAGGTGTTAATCAAAACAAAGAAAACAAAATATTCTAACCATGCCATGGGAAAATAGCCCTACCCTCTTCATCAGGCTAATCAGCCATGACATCTGTGAGGTCATAATGTTGCTATACCTTAGAAGGGCATAGTCTTCCAGGATATACAAGACCCGAGTGTCTAATGTATAAAATGAGCAGGACATTTTTGTTGAAAAAGGTGTGAAGGTAGCTTTTTATACATCATGAAGAATAAGAAATGGGCACAAAAGTTGCATTTTATTTCTTTGTAGGTCACCTTTAAATAAAAGCAATTTACTCAGAACAAATTCATAAGCTGTGGTTAAATATATGTGCCTCAGACAAACTGCTAAAAAAAACTTTGCTAGACAGGTGATAAGCCTAAATTATCCACTCTTAGTATTGCCTATGAGTTCTCAAAGTTTTTCATAGTGTAGGCCACTTCTTTAATAATAATAAAAAAAAAAATCTCATGAACCTCCACCCCTTGGAAAATTTGCTTTGTTTCTTTGTTTTGTTCTGTTTTAATTCACTGAATGGGCGAAGTGTGTGTGTGTGTGTACGTGTGTGTGTGTGCACGTACATAAATGTGCATGGGAGGAATTGCTGCATAGTCCATTCCCTGTCACATATGCACAAACTTCCCACTACATACAAAATGATGCAACTTTACCACCACTACGCACAAATCAACTAATTCTATTACCTAATCCATTCTCAATTTTCTTGATCCTTTAATTTCTCTGTACCCTTCCTGTTCCTTAGTACTCTCTCCTGGCTCCTTTGAGCCTGGCCCTAGTTATGTGGATTCTGATTTGACTCCCTGACCCTGCTCTACAGTTTACAGCTGCTATCTAGAGAACTTCCTTGGCCCAAAAACAAGGCCTGGATCATACTGAATTATTTGCAATGACTTTTAAAATTTAGAGTAATGTTCTAATCTAGCAATTTAGCTACTTAATTTTTAAATTCAAATTCTGTGATTTATTTTTTAACAGGATGACAATCTAATGGATGTCTTGCAGTTGCTTGTTGCTCTGATGTCAGAGCATCCAAGTTCTATGATTCCTGCTTTTGATCAGAGGAATGGATTACGGTAAGTTAAAATTCATGTGTAGGCAAAAGAGAAGGATATTTTGATGACATTGCTATTCACTAGATTTCCCACGCAACCTTGAGTCATTTCAGTCCAGGTACTGCAGCTGTAAACGCCTTCTTTTGGGTGATTTTTGTGTCCAGCTGTTCTCTTGGCCAGAGTTGACACTGGTTTTATTACTGATGAATTGTTAATGCCTCCAAGCTGTCAGTCGTGCTCAGACAAGTAGTAGTCAGTTTATTGTGTTAGTCTATACCTGTATGTTAATCATCATCCATTAACATCTAGCCTGAAACCTCCCTTTCTACGTCAATTCACTGAGAATTTAGTAATGGGCCAGTTCCAGCTAAACTAGCTGACAGGTTTCTTCTGATCCTTGTTAGCTTTTTCACCACTGAAAAGTTGTTTATTTTCCCTTCCCCCCCCACCCTATGGTGTGTAACCTATTGTTGGCAACTTCTGTTTACCTGTAGAGGCCATGCTCAATATGTTGAGAAATGCTGTTTCATGCTATTGTGAGTGGATAGTAGTAGTTGAGGAAAGTAGCTATTTCTAGTAAAGCCCAGTAGAAGAATTGTTGTTAGGAAAATGGCATTAAATTACAGTTTTGATTTTATTTTGTTGTTCAGTTATCAGGCCACCCAGTGAGAGCTTTTCTAATTTAAAATGAATCCTGTGTGGATATCAGGGGAAAGTGTGAGCATACAACCAAATATAAGAACTGTTTCGAGGAGGGTACTTGCAGCAGTAATCCACTTGTTATATAAAGGTGTATTCTCAATTCATACATTTTGTTGCAACTACTGATTAATCCTGGGTTTTACTTTTTTCTCCCAGTTCCCCTATGTCAAGAATCATGCAGTCATGTTCATAATTGTTTCCACCCTCTTCTCCGTGCTAGTTATTTTATCGGTTTTGTTCAGCTTAGACTTCATTTGTATGGTAATGTTATGTTCTGGGAAACTAATAAAACCTCTAAATAATAAAGTATTTGAATGCCATGTCAGGTCTCTCACGTATTGTATTTGTTTTTACTTAACAACTGGCAATAAACTATTTTCTTTTTATTAAGTAGCATAGGGCAGCTCTGTATGAATAGTGAGTCGTCTGTGAGAAATCTTTGTTTTTCTGTCTCATTTGTTATATTCCTTGCTCCTGTACTGTCTCCAGCCATTTAACTGGCCGATTATATGTCTAGTGCAATTGATCAGAAAATTTAAAAAGATGAGTTAAATGATACTTTCTCTCCATGTTTAAAATAATTTTTTTCCCCTCACATAGGCTGTATAGATATTTGAGTGCTTTTTCTTAAAATTCAAAAATAACATATATATTAGTTCAGAAATAACTTATATGGAAGTTTAATGTTTTCCATTATACTGGATAGCCCTGATGGTATCTTGTAAGCTGCCATCTTGTAAGGACAGAGAAAATTGGGCTGTGTTATCTTCTTCCACCTTTTGTTCTCTGCTGCTGATATCCCACCTGCCTAGCTGGTTACATTCCACAGCTGCTTCACCCAGGTTGCTTGGATTTGAATTGCTGCTGACTCTTCTCCCTCTGATTCTGGTACTGAAGAGAAGGGGAGACTTTTTTCTTTTGTTTGGGTGTGTTGGGGGCAGCTGAGGTTATGGAATAAATTTATTGGGAGGGTTGGGGTGTGTAAACAAGGCAGTCTACTTTGTTCCGTTCTTAAAAGTATCCACAGCCAGGTATTATGTTAAGTAATATTGTCCTTTTCATTTGTTTTGAGACTAGTAGAAATGCTTTTGAATCTTTTGAATTTTTCCTTAAAGTTCTAAAAATGTACTTTCATAAAAAGAGGCAAACAGCCCAAAAAGTTCACTGTACGGACTGTGTGAGACTTTGTCATCTGCATTCTCGTAATGAATATAATTTCATAGAACATTAAGGAATTAAATAATCCATAAAAACAATTTAAGAGCTTATCTCATCTGGACAGAAGCCAAGTGTGGTTGATGCAAATTCAGGAGATCTAGTGAATACCATAGACAACCAAACTAAAATCAAATGGGTTGCAGGTACGTCCCAATGGTGATGATGACATTGGAGCAATCGTAAAATATTAAGTGTACAATCGAGGACCGAATTTATCCTCTCAGGACACAGATTTAATTTATTAATTGTACTATAGTAGTGTCCAGAGGGCATGGCCACCAGACCAATCATTATCAGCTGGCAGAGTGCCTATTCTCAGCACTTTCTGCTATGAGACTGCTTTCAGTTGCTTATAACATTGCTAAATTTTAATTATATGGGCTACATTTTTTTATGTCAGGTGTCTGCCTCAGGCTGAATTGTTTTATTTGGAAAAATTTAGGAAAAAAATCTCTTCAGCCATTTCTGAGAAGGCGGCAGGAGCTGCATGCCTAATGATGAGGATAAAAAGAAATAATTAATGTATACCTGTCTCCTGAGCCCCCATCCTTATTGTGCAGTGAGTGAGGTATAGGTCCTGCAGGGAAAAATAGTAAATGACCATCTAAAGATCATAGTTGCATGGGCAACCTTAATTCTGGCATTTGTTTCTTTGGTATATATTTTCATATAGGTTTTTTTGGTATATTACTTTCTCAGTGTGACCTAAAAATTATACATGTTTTTAATAATTAAGAAAGGAATAAGCAAAGTGCTCAGTGTCCATTTGTATCTCATATGAAGGATGCAGCATATTGCCCTTTAGCAACATACTGGGGCATTGATTGAGTGCTAGCTGAGATGGAAGCATGAGTGTTGCTTGTTTTCCAGTTAAACTTTTGAGTGAGAAGTTCAAATATAGATATATGCTCTGGAGTAATACTTGGAAACTCTGCACATAGATTTCTCATCAGTATGTTTGCATGTTGTCACTTTTAATTATGTGACATTCGAACAACAACGGATTGTTCAGTGCTAACCAGCCTTTTTCCTCCTTGAGCAGGTATTGTGAGGTTATGGTGACCAGACGTCCCGTTTTTAAAGGGACAATCCCGTATTTTAGTCCTCCTACAGGTGGTGTCCCGACTTTTTCTAAAAAATGGACAAATTATCCATATTTTCTGTCATCTCCCCCCCCCCCCCCTTCCCTCTTCCCCCACACCAAGACTGGCTGCTGCTGGCCACATTCTGGTGTGAACCCTGCTCGTCTGGCTGGATCCCTGCTTGCCACCCACCTGCCCACCAGCGGTGAGGGGCAGGTTCCAGTGGCCAACAATGGGGGTGGATGTGCAAGGCTCGTGGCGGGGTGAAGATGCAGTATGTGGGACTGGCTGCTCCCCCTGCTGGTCCGTCAGCGCAGCCCCCATTCCATTTGTGGCTGGTGCTGTGAGCTGTGGTAGCTGGTGGCAGGCGCCAGGCAGCGGCCGGCTATGTGTCACCTCTGCTGCCCATTGGCCCTTTACGTGCTCCCCCTCTCGCTGTCCTCTCCCTACTTTGCCCCTTCGCTTCTGCAGTCCTGCTGGGTTTTTATATGCCCTCTGGCAGGGCGCATCCCACTCCCAGCACTGTTCAGAGAATCAGCTCACCAGCAGCCTGGTTGGCAGGCTCCTTCCTTCCCCGCACTGCCTCTGGCTGGGTTGGTGTCCTGGGAAAGCCCAAGACCCTTTGGCCCGGTGCACTGGCCAGGAGGAGCTGAGCTCTGCGTGTGCCAAAGCCCTGCACAGTGCTGGCATGGGGAAGCCTCTCTGCCCCTCAGCTAAGCTCCGGAATGTTGGGGTGCGAGAGGGAAAGCAATTTCTAGCCTGTTCATGCCCCAAACCTGCAGGCTCCATAGCAGCTCCTGGGGCAGGGGCTTAGCACCCTCTTACCTCCTCCCTGACCTTGGGTCCTGCCCCCAGGGAGCGCAGGGCTGCTCCATCCCCTAGACACCTTCCCCTGCTGGCCAGGTTTACTGAAGGCCCTGCAGTCAGGTTGCCTAGGCCCTGGTGCACAATTATCCTTAGGGCTTAACCCCTTCCTGCCCATGCTGTAGCTGGGACACAGGAGGCAGCTGGGTTATGTCGGTGGCCAGCAGCAGCCTGGAGGTGTTAGCTGCCTTTCAACGTTGTGCGGGCAGGAAGGGACAAGATGCTTCTAGTGGGGCGGGGAAAGGGGGGAAGAGGTGGGGGATGAATTCTGCAAAGACATGGGCCAGGTCATCCTCCTCTTTCTCCCCCCCCGTCTGGAAGCAGCTTCTAACCCTTCCCTCCTACATAGTGCCGAAAGGCTGCTGCTGGCCACATTCTGGTGTGAACCCTGGCAGAAATCTGGGGAGGGGGGGCATGTGACCCTGTGTGCCCCCCATGTGTTGCCATGGGAAGTTACGGCACCAGGTACCAGGAGAGGTGGTCCATCCCAGGCGCCCAGCCAGGCATGGAGGATGGAGAGCACCGGGTAGGGAAGGGTTGGGTCAGTTGGTCACCCCACTGTGTGAGAGAGGTGTATGGGAGTGTATGTGTGTCACCTCTCCCTGTGTGTGTGTGGGGGGGGCTAGGCATGTGTGTCCCCTCTTCCTGTGTGTGGTGGGTGGGGGGGGGTAGGGGTGTGTGTCCTCTCTTCCTGTGTGAATCCTAAAGTCTTAAAGATAAGAAGGTAAATAAAAAGAATCCAGCTACACAGTATTTCTTTTTAACAGGAGCTCAGTCATAGAATCATAGAATATCAGGGTTGGAAGGGACCTCAGGAGGTCATCTAGTCCAACCCCCCTGCTCAAAGCAGGACCAATCCCCAATTAAATCATCCCAGCCAGGGCTTTGTCAAGCCTGACCTTAAAAACTTCTAAGGAAGGAGATTCTACCGCCTCCCTAGGTAATGCATTCCAGTGTTTCACCACCCTCCTAGTGAAAAAGTTTTTCCTAATATCCAACCTAAACCTCCCCCACTGCAACTTGAGACCATTACTCCTTGTCCTGTCCTCTTCTATGACTGAGAATAGTCTAGAACCATCCTCTCTGGAACCCCCTTTCAGGTAGTTGAAAGCAGTTATCAAATCCCCCCTCATTCTTCTCTTCTGCAGACTAAACAATCCCAGTTCCCTCAGCCTCTCCTCATAAGTCATGTGTTCCAGACCCCTAATAATTTTTGTTGCCCTTCGCTGGACTCTCTCCAATTTATCCACATCCTTCTTGAAGTGTGGGGCCCAAAACTGGACACAGTACTCCAGATGAGGCCTCACCAATGTCGAATAGAGGGGAACAATCACATCCCTCGATCTGCTCGCTATGCCCCTACTTATACATCCCAAAATGCCATTGGCCTTCTTGGCAACAAGGGCACACTGCTGACTCATATCCAGCTTCTCGTTCACTGTCACCCCTAGGTCCTTTTCCGCAGAACTGCTGCCTAGCCATTCGGTCCCTAGTCTGTAGCGGTGCATTGGGTTCTTCCGTCCTAAGTGCAGGACCCTGCACTTATCCTTATTGAACCTCATCAGATTTCTTTTGGCCCAATCCTCCAATTTGTCTAGGTCCCTCTGTATCCTATCCCTCCCCTCCAGCGTATCTACCACTCCTCCTAGTTTAGTATCATCCGCAAATTTGCTGAGAGTGCAATCCACACCATCCTCCAGATCATTTATGAAGATATTGAACAAAATCGGCCCCAGGACCGACCCCTGGGGCACTCCACTTGACACCAGCTACCAACTAGACATGGAGCCATTGATCACTACCCGTTGAGCCCGACAATCTAGCCAACTTTCTACCCACCTTATAGTGCATTCATCCAGCCCATACTTCTTTAACTTGCTGACAAGAATACTGTGGGAGACCGTGTCAAAAGCTCTGCTAAAGTCAAGAAACAATACATCCACTGCTTTCCCTTCATCCACAAAGCCAGTAATCTCATCACAGAAGGCGATTAGATTAGTCAGGCATGACCTTCCCTTGGTGAATCCATGCTGACTGTTCCTGATCACTTTCGTCTCATGTAAGTGCTTCAGGATTGATTCTTTGAGGACCTGCTCCATGATTTTTCCGGGGACTGAGGTGAGGCTGACTGGCCTGTAGTTCCCAGGATCCTGCTCCTTCCCTTTTTTAAAGATTGGTCAACTTGTCAACTTGATGTTATTTGAATGTATGTACTGCATAGGTTCTGATTGATTGCTGTTGAACTCGCTTGGATATGAGTAATTTTACTAGGTGTCCTGTATTCAACATAGGGAAATATTGTCACCCTATCTAAGGTACAATGCATGTTCCAGAGCTAATAGGAATTTCTTTATGGTAAATTCCAGTGTGATCTGAAGAAAGATCAAAGACAGAGGAATAATACCTTCTGTCTTCCAGAAAGAAGGGGGAATATACGTGGATATGCAATTTTGTATGTAAGACAGCTTTGCTAAGATTCTAATGTGTTCTTTCATTAACTTTGTTTTTTATCAAAAAATCTGAGATGCAGAAACTGGTGTAAGTGTAATGAAAAGAATGCCAGCTGACATTGTTTTTTGCCATCCTTCTGAAAGCTGCCATAAAGGACTAGCAAGGGATACAAATGTCAAATACTAATGCTGTTAGCAAATGTCCACCCATATATGAAACTTAAGCTTTTTGCAGCTAGTCTCTAGCCAGCTGTCTTGACAGTACAACAAACATAATTTGTTTGCTTTTCTGTACTGTAGCCTGAGTGAGATATCAGCTAAAGACAGATTTGAGTACTGAAATTACAATGACCTTTTCAGAGATACTGTTTTCATATCAATTGATACTTTTAGGGACTCAAACAGAATTTGGATTTCAAAATTCCCAAATATAACTTAAAAATTTTAGTACAAAGTACTATATAATTTAGGAAAATGTCACCATATTTGGAAAGCTTATCAATATCTGTCACTTTAATTTGAACCAAGGTACAAACTTGTCTGCTGCAGTTAATTTGTGAGTGTGGAAACTCTCTCTTAGTTGCTATTTCAGACAATCTTGGTGTTCTGTTTGTTTTCATTTAGGGTTGTCTACAAACTTCTAGCATCAAAAAGTGAAGGGATCAGGGTACAAGCTCTAAAAGTGATGGGCTACTTCTTAAAACATCTAGCACCTAAGTAAGTACTGGTTTAAATCTGAAGAAAAGATACTGTTTCTGTATATGTTGTTATACATATTTAAAGTGTTCTGTTGGCATGCAACCAGAATACATGCTTCAGCCCATAGTAACTACTGTTTTCTTCAGTGTCATTCAGTTTGTTTTTTCGTAATCCATTTCCTATCTAGTGGAATTAGTCACAGTTGTGTCATAGCATCATAACAGGCTCTCCCATCAAGCTTACCTAGTGATTTGTGACATGTCAGTTTATAGGTTTATGTTTTTAGCACAACCTGCTTGCATAGTTCCAACAAAATATATACTAATAATTAGAATAGTGAGATTAGCAACAAATATTACCAACTCTGGACTCAATTTAAGGTATCTTAAAAGTGTCTTATTTTATCTTTATTTTAAAATTGGCAAAAACATTAAGGTGAGTATTTGCAATCCAGCACTTTTGCTACATGCCTAACAAAGTACCTCTGACCAGTTATGTGATTTGAAACTTAACCATGGTAAAATACTTTCTTAATGAGTTGATGTTGCCAGAGCTCAGATCCAAAACACATAGGTATTCAGGATCTGTTGTTGGGCATACAGCAGAAACATTTCTGTAAATATTCACTTTGTTCTTGCCAATTTTATAGTGAAGATGAATAAAGTAAGGGCTTCTTAAGCCACCTAAACTGAGTCTGGGGTTGGTAACTCTAGTTTATCTTTAAAATTAATCCATCAAAACTTATTTTTGCTGCTCCCCTTTTCTTATGCCCCAGCCACCCAGAACACAAATACATAGCCACCTGGTCTCTGTTAACTTACAGACATCTGTCTGTAATGTCTGTAATTAGGACTTCCACCATAAAAAGTGGCAAGGAGAATGAACTTTACATAGGTCTTTCAATTTTTGTCTTGAAATACTGGCCCTTAGCATTTATTGTTGATCTTGGAAGTTATATAGTTGTCCAATTGCAGCAGAAAGTACAACACTAGTTTCCACCAATTTATTTAAACAGTGGAATTTGCTGCAACTGTAGTTAACAGATTGCCAGCTAATGCTCATGATCAAGTAACCTTTGTGAGCTGAATGGGGAGGGTTGTGGTCTTCCCTATATCATTATCAAGGGTCCCTCAAGGTCTGGGTCCAGCTTTTTGGGTGGCTGGTGGTAGGATGTTGGCACACAATATGTGAGCGGCCCCTGTCACAGGCTATGTCAACATTGCAGTCAGAGGTGTGACTGCAGCATGTGTAGACATACCTGCACTAGCTTTGGTCTAGCTAGTTTAAATACCAGTAATCGTGAGAGCACGACAGCACAGGCTGGATACCTAGGACTATGGGCATGTATTTGAGTGGCTGCCGTGTGCTGTTGTGGTTTCCGTGCGATTGTTGTTCAAGCTAGCTAGCTTGGATAGGTCTACATGTGCTGCAGCCACAGCTCTGATTGCAGTGTAGACATACCCAGAGGCTCAGAGAGTGAACCATCCAGTAGTCACACTTTCAGCAGATCCCAGTGGGTGGCTTGCTTGTTACCTTTGGCAGATAAGGGTTCCTGTGCCCCAACTTCCCCAGAACCGAGAGGCTACAAACTAAAATGCTGAAACACTTTCACCAATTTAGCACTGCTCTGGTGTACACATACCTAACTAGTTAGAGATGCCCTAATTTACTTTATCTGCCTTCCTGTGTTATTGTAGGAGAAAAGCTGAAGTCATGCTTGGACATGGATTATTCTCTTTGCTGGCTGAAAGGCTGATGCTTCATACAGGCTTAATCACCATGACCACGTACAATGTCCTGTTCGAGGTAGTAATAGACTGTAGTTAGAATCCAATCTTCCTAATTACTTAGAAGATGTTATAAAATTGCTTGCATGTTTGTGCTGATATTTTCCAGATGACGCTAGAAATGTAGCTAGGGATGCAGTAAAGTTTTCTGAAGCTTACTGCTTTGGAAGTTCTGCTTAATTTAGATATAGAAGTAGCTCATTGTGAATCATTTTAAAATAACTGTTGAATTAAATGATTGAAGTAGATACTTTTATACCGAGAGCTTCATTCCACTTGAGATTGTGGCTTAAGGTTGTTGTAACTTTGATTAAATTTAGGGGAACTCTTCCACTATAATTAAAATACTAAATGTGTGTCTCAGAAAATGCAAAAAATGGTGTTAAAAATAAGATTGATTCAATTACTAAAACGTATGACAAGGAAACTTCTGTACAATTTTAGCACTAAGATGATATGATGATGAGCACTGTAGAAAACCTTATGATAAACAAGGGGATCAGCCATTCTCTGGCAAGCTTTTTTAGTGAACATTGAATAGCTGTTCTTACACTGTGTTTCTTCCTCCTTCCCCCAGATTCTTATTGAACAAATTTGCACTCTAGTAATACATAAACAGCATCCTGACCCAGATTCAACAGTGAAGATACAAAATCCTCGTAAGCATTACATATCTTTTAAATTATATCACTGTTAAACAAAAAATGTTTGTCATTTAAGAAAACAGCTTATTAATTATGTCCAGCAGTCTGAATTGTGGTCTGTTAGTTTTACAGAGTCATTCATGCAAGAGAGGAGATAATGCATGTTTAGTTGGAGTTAATTGGGAAACATGCCTGTCTCCAGCTTTTTGAAAGACCTTTTGTATGTCTAAATGTATACGTAATTTAGTACTGACCCTTTTTGTTATGTGGTGGTGATAGTATGAGATGTTTTTTCAAGACTGTTATGCACAGAGTATTTTGATTTAATACATTTTCAGGTTTCAGTGCAATTCTGATTGCATTATTTAGTGATGTCAGACTAAATTACATGAAGTATGGAAGTAACATTCATCTTAAATTACGGTCAATGCAGAAACTCCGGATTTGGAGTGGAAGAAATGTATCTGCTTACTATATTGTTTAGGGTAACTTTCTTTATAGAGAAAAAATCCTGATTTGAGACTTTAGATTTCAGGACAAATTTCTGTTCAAAACCCTTAAGATTCTATAGATTCAGTATAATTGATATTCAAAGAGAGAAACTTAGAGGACACCTGGCTTTCATGTTTGTTCATAACATGATTCATCAGCTGGTATGTTCCTAGTAGGGTGACCAGATGTCCCAATATTTGGGGCTTTTTTTTATATTGGCTCCTATTATCCCCCAACTCCTGTCCTGATTTTTCATATTTGCTATCTGGTCACCCTAGTTTCTAGTCTTCCAGAGAACATATTTCTTAAAGATGGTCAGTAAATACCGATATTTCCTTTTAAACCAGTCATTTGTGACATAGTAGGCATTAGATTATTAAACCCTGATCATCATTAATTCCAACATTTTACATAATGGCCTAACTCCACTCCCACAGTGAACTAGGCCAACACTGAATGCACTTGTAATCAGTGGCGCAGGCAACCGTATGCCCGGTGCATATCATTGGCAGGGGCAAAGGGGCAGTTTGCTCCAGGGCCCTGTTTGTTTGAGAGGGCCCCCAAACTGAGTGGTGCACAACCCCATATGTTGGGTTGCAGTGCTACTCACTGAAATTTGGCCTGTCCACCCCTGCAATTATGATGGAGGGTCAGCTGGGCCAAATGTGAGTGGCTAAAATAAAGCTGTATGTACCATGTGAAAAATTTCTGGGTGTGCCCCTGTTTGAAAATCCCACTGAAGGGGAATAGTCATGGAAGTCTTTGGAAGAAACAAGCAATATAATTCTTCTTTACTCAGATGCATCTTTGACACTGCTGGAGATGCTTTTCTTTCTTTGTGTAAACAAATATATTTTTACAAGTTAGTTTTTCATAAAGTGACTATCTTACCAAAATATTTCCTGTTAGTGAATGTAGTCTAATAAGCTCCAATATTTGATGTGCTTTATTTCTAGTTTTTAAAATTTACTTGTGAACTGTTTTGCAGAGGTATTGAAAGTAATCGCGACTCTACTACGTAACTCTCCCCAGTGCTCAGAAACTCTGGAGGTTCGTCGAGCTTTTCTCTCAGACATGATTAAACTGTTTAATAACAGCAGAGAAAATAGGAGGTAAGAGGGCTCATTGTGTGCATACAAAGACCATATGTAAATAACGATGTCTTACAAATCTGTTCTCTCTTAGGACTAAACTAAAATAGTCTCATTAGGCAACCATGTCTAGGCCACGTTATTTAACAAATGCTGTATTCTATTAGGCTTATACATGTAATGCTAGAGAAGTTGCATGCAGTAGTGTTTTTACATATGCTAAATTCATCACCTGCTATGTGTGGTCTCAAAGTTAATGATCTTTGTATGTTTTAATATGCTTGTGCATTTTGAGATATGATTTAGCAGCAGGAGTATGTGTTTTGCAGGAGCTTGTTGCAGTGCTCAGTGTGGCAGGAGTGGATGCTTTCTCTTTGCTATTTCAACCCCAAGAACTCTGAAGAGCAGAAGATAACTGAAATGGTGTATGCCATTTTTAGAATCTTGCTTTATCATGCAGTGAAATATGAGTGGGGTGGCTGGCGAGTTTGGGTGGATACACTGTCAATCACACATTCAAAGGTGAGTGTTTCCCGGAAAAATATTCTGGAAATTGCAATAACTTTTTTTTCCCCTCTAATGAAATTTGGAGCCTTTAAGTACTGGGTCAAATAAAAAAAGTCTTCTAGTAGAAATAAGCCATTTGAATAAGTAGAAATTCAGTAGCTTGAATGGTCTATAATAGCATATACTTCAAGTTCAGTGTATGGCTTGTCACATTTGAAAACTGAATGACTTTTCGTTGTCAGAATACTTTAATCACAAAATTCTTTCTGTTGCTCATGGCATGATGGTGTTCACTTGTAGTAAAAGTGGCATTTAAACATTTCCTAGGGCAGGTTAATCAGAGTTTCAGTGGTGTTTTAGTGCTGGATGTCTGTGCATTAATAACAGCATGAAGTTTTTAAAACACAAGGTGGCGCACCTTATCTATGCATAGACTAAAAATACCTTTTAGTAACATCAAAAGGCAGTGAAACAAACCCACAAAATTAAGGAAATCAGAGTAGAGGCTGACATTCCATCTGTTAAGCCATGAAGGGAGACAGGAAGGTAAGGAGGCTGAAGGAGAATCCCACTGAACGAATACAGGTGCCAGCCTTCCTTCTTTCATGGCTTTTGTTGGCTTGTTACAACCTGAACAACACTGTAAAACACATTTTATTAGTAACTTTTTTTTTCAAATTGAGATACAGAACTAGAAGAAGCAGCCACTTCATTTCTCTGTCCCTGCACCAAGAAAAGAAAAAAGTCTAACATAAAAATCTGTGGAATTTGTGTTCTGGGTTTTCAGACAGGTAAATTGTAAATTACATACTTTTAAAAGTGTGTCTCTTACCCACTTATAGAGTGCATACAAAACTGCACGTCTTAATCCCACATTACTGTCCTTACATGGGTTAACTTCCTCCCAGAAATTGTCAATCTATTTAGATCACAACAGCACTACTGGTTTATCTTGTATATCACTGATTTTTGATTCAATAAACAGCTCAATAATCTATTGTGTGGTGGTTATGTGTGAGGGAGAAGAATAAAAGTCCATATACTAAAAATGCTTGCAAATGTTTAGTCAGTGAACATTTCATGACATTATAGGTGCAAAGGATCTGGGGCCAGATCTTAATCCATGCCAAAATGTGGCTCCAGTGACATAGTGGTGCATTAATCCTTTGCTATGCCAGCTCTATATCAAACCTGAAGCGTTTCCATCAGTATAGCAGTGTTTAGGTGGAGTGGGCTACAAACTGTAACCAGTGTAAAGGCCACTGAAGTTTTGTTAAAAGTTAGCATACTTTTAAGCAGCTCTGAGGCTGTTTTAAATTTCTGGGAATTGAACCAGCCATTGGCTGCTCTCAGGATTGGGGTAAGCAGAAATGTGGCATAAAGCCACCCCTTTGCCTGAAGTTTGCCCATGCAGCTTTGGCACACTAGAGGAGTATGCCCCTGGTTTCTAAACAATACCTGTAAAAATTAATTTATTAACTTACAGTTGTTTTGAAGTTTTTGTTTGTGAGATGTGCGTGGAGAAAGAAGGCAGCAGTCTGCAATGAGAACTAATGGTTGGTAAAGTTAAACATAAAATACAGTGTTAAAATTCAAGCACTGAAATGGATTTGTGGTCACTAATTATATATTATTTCGTATCTAACTTAAAATGGCTAACCCAGCTATTCCACAATATGTAGAGAAAACACAAATGTTTGTAGGAGACCTGGTAGGGGCTAAATATTTAAAAACAAATTCTGGATAAGTTATAAAATCTCTGAAAACAAGATCTTGATGATGCAAATTCTTAAAATGGATTTGGTTCTAATTATCTGAAAGGGCTTTTTTTAAGAACATAAGAATGGCCCTACTGCGTCAGACCAAAGGTTCATCTAGTCCAGTATCCTGTCTTCCGACAATGGCCAATGCCAGTGCCCCTGCGAGAATGAACAGAACAGGTAATCCCTCCCCTGTTGCCCATTCCCAATTTCTGGCAAACAGAGGATAGGGACTCCATCCTGTCTAATAGCCATTGATGGACCTATCCTCCATGAACCTATCTAGTTCTTTTTTGAACCCTGTTATAATCTTGGCCTTCACAACATCCTCTGGCAAGGAGTCCACAGGTTGACTGTGCATTGTGTGAAAAAATACTTCCTTTTGTTTGTTTTAAACTTGCTGCCTATTAATTTCATTTGGTGACCGCTAGTTCTTGTGTTATGAGAAGGAGTAATTAACACTTCCTTATTTACTTTCTACACAACAATCATGATTTTATAGACCTCTCTTATATCTGCCTTAGTAGTCTCTTTTCCAAGCTGAAAAGTCCCAGTTTTATTAATCTCTCCTCTTATGGCAGCCATTCCCTACCCCAATCATGTTTGTCGCCTTTTTCTGAACCTTTTCCAATTCCAATTTATCTTTTTAGAGATGGGGCGACCACATCTGCAGGCAGTATTCAAGATGTGAATGTACCATGGATTTATACAGAGGCAATATGATATTTTCTGTTTTATTATCTATCCCTTTCTTAATGATTCCCAACATTCTGTTCACTTTTTTGACTGTCGCTGCACAATGAGTGGATGTCTTCAGAGCACTATCCACAATGACTCCAAGATCTCTTTCTTGAGTGGTAACAGCTAATTCAGACCCCATCATTTTATATGTATATACCTCCACCCTGATATAATGCAGTAAAGCATTTCCCCTCCTCCCCCGTCCCTCCCAGGCTTGGGAGGGAGGGAGGAGAAGCGGAACAGTGGCGCGCTCAGGGGAGGAGGCAGAGCAGAGGTGAGCTGCTGGAAGAGGGGGGACATGGGGAGGGCCACACCAAGTAACCGGGGGGGACGGAGACGCAGAGGAACCGCTCCCGCCCCAGCTCACTTCTGCTCCGCCTCCTCCCCCGAGCGTGCTGCTGTTCTGCTTCTCCCTCCCTCCCAGGATTGCTGTGCCAAACAGCTGATTCACGGCAAGCCTTGGAGGGAGGGGGGAGAAGCGGAGCGGCGGCACACTCAGGGCAGGAGGCGGAGGCGGAGCGGAGGTGAGCTGGGGCAGTGGGATGGGCAGCTGCCAGTTTGTGCTCTGCACCCACCAATTTTTTTCCATGGGTTCTACAGCCCCAGAGCACCCATGGAGTTGGCACCTATGGCGGCAGCAACATGCCGCTCTGAGCGGCGTGTTAAGGGGACCAGGCCGGGGCCAGGGGTTGGATAAATGTCAGAGGGTCTCGGGGGGCAGTCAGGGGACAGGGAGCAGGGGGATTTGGGTGGATCGGGGGTCAGATAGGGGGCAGGGCCAGGCTGTTTTGGGAGGCACAGCCTTCCCTACCCAGCCCTCCATAGCAAGTTCGGTATAACGCTGTTTCACATATTACGCGGTAAGATTTTTTGGCTCCCAAGGACTGCGTTGTATCGGGGTAGAGGTGTAGTTGGGATTATCTTTTCCAATGTGCGTTACTTTGCATTTATCAACATTGAATTTCATCTACCATTTTGTTGTCCAGTCACCCAGTTTTGTGAGATCCTTTTGTAGTCTTTCCAGTCTGCTTGGGACTTAACTATCTTGAGTAGTTTTGTATCATCTGCAAATTTTGCAACCTTCCTGTTTACCCCTTTTTCCAGATCATTTATGAATATGTTGACTAGGACTGGTCCCATGGGATACCATACCAAATGGGATCTGAGGTGCTTGAGCCTCCATCCTACCCTCCTGTTGCCCAGGTTCCAACATGAAGCAGGCTTGCAGCCAGGAAATTCCTATTGAGGGGTCCTCAGCTGTGGAATAGATTTCTAGCTTCACTTTTTCAAAGCCCAACATCTGTTCCCCCGGGGTTTTGTTTTTGCATTGCAGGGGAGGTCAGTGGTGGGGGAGAAGAGAGATGAGCAGGTGAATAAGTGGGGTGGGTTGCAGAATGTGTTCTGGGTTTGAAGTAGTTAAACAAGATCTGGAATAGTTCAGTCTGTTGAATACTGGGCCTAAAAAGTTGTCTTCATAGTCTCATGCTGAAAGAATTAAGATTTTTTAAAAATAAATAGGACTGTTAAAACCTTATTCGGTGTATTTTCAGATTAAATTAATTTTTGGTAAAGGTAATGGTTACATTTTACACTGCAACTAGTGATATAAGGATAGAGATGATGATGTGTGTGTATGGGGTGTGTGCCTTAAGTATTGATATTAATATTCAATTGGTTATGAATTCTTACAATTGTTTTTTTCCTAATTAACTTACATTTTGAATACTCTAGTATATACTGATTTTAAAAAGTCGTAAATTACCAAGACTCTTTACATTGTATGACTTTATAATACTGTGTAGAAATAATTCAGTTGGTATATTGCTAGATGCTAAGTGCATCACTGAGTTGTTTGATTTCTAGCATGCTTTCAAAGTACTATGGAACCAGCAATCATAGAGACCGAAATATTTTTTTCTTAATATTGTTGAGGAAATAACCAGTTGTTTTCATTTAATCTCTAATTGTAGGGAATGCTTATTTTTCCCTTTTACAGCTCTTTGCACCCCCCACCCCAAATTATAACACCATTCTTTGATAAAGAACTAGTGTATAACGGACTAGTGTTGCAGAATTGGATAGGTTTTGCAGAGCTACACATCAAGATACATGCAGCTGCTATAAAAAGCCAAAGAAACTCAATTGCAATTTTATTGTCCAGTTTGATAGATTTCCTGCCACCTTTGTAGCAGGGAAGCTGTTTGTCACTGTAAACCTCTCTTCCAACAGCTGCACTATGCTTTATAAGCAGCAATGGTTTTTCTAGCATAATTGCACTACATTGGTTTCTTTGCTTCCAGAATTTAAAAGGTGTGGGTAACCTTTTTAAAGCTGAATTTCTATGTCTTGCTCATGCACTGCCTTGATTTTCATATTATATCTTTGTGCTATTTCTTCAAAGCTGAACATGATTTACCAAAAATTATGGTTTAAACTGAGTCTTACAGTTTGATGAAAATATTCAGGAAAAATTTAGATCAAAACCCAATTTTGTTAAAGTATTTTTTCTAGAAT